TTGAATTAGAGCTGCGTCAGTAGACTCAATACGATAAAGGAACACTATCTGACAAGCAATACTATAGTTAATCCTTAAAATTCCAAGTCAACCTTAATCATGCGAACTGATCGATTTCCACGGTACCGTCTCAACCATAACTTCAAAATGCCCAAATATACTCCCGCACCGAACCAGACTTTGGCGTTCCCTAGTACTTAATCTATATCCATCCTTGTAAGGAGAGGTTCGAACATGATATATCTCCTGTTGTGATCAATAATTCAAAGCATAGATGGATCAAGATTGAAAGAACTATGTATAGTATGTTGTTGGTCATCTAATTCCGGTGCAACTGATGTAGAATATCTGCTTTTGCAGCTGGACTGTTTGAAATCAAGAAAACATCAAGTAGATCAGAAAATGCTCATTGATGGCTCTTTTGGGAAAAATACTCTTGCTTTGCCATGACTGTAAGTTGTGAGCCAGAACTACCAACCCATAACGTGGATCGCCACCAAATGCTTGTTCCAACCCAAGACTAGCCTTTTCCATATGATGTCAAGGATGATTATCAGTTGATATCAATTTATCGATAGATGTAGATATTAGTAAATATATGATATATATCACTTGGAATTTACTTTTGGTTTGTAAATTATAAGTATACATTTTGAGAGATCCATATAGTTGACAGCCTTATCATACATATATCTCGATTTATATATGTATAATATACATCAGATAATATAATTTCTAGAAAAGTGATCATCTTAAAGTATATATATTTAATAGATGGTTTTAAATTATTACTTATAAATTAATTTCAATAATTTGTGGCTAAGATATGAGTGTCAATACTATTAGACGACTGGGACAAAAAAGCTGAATCACCACCCACTGAGTGCCATGGTGGTAAAGAGGGGATGAATCACCCAATCCAATCCCTCCAACAAATACTTGGCAATTTGTAAGTTCTCTCACTTTTGCTCTCCTTCCTTGTCGCCACTTTCGGTGAATCAAGAGGATACATTTCTCATGTTATTTAGACCATGCTTCGCAGGATTACCTCAAGGGATTTGTATGTGGTCCCGTGATATCTGGAGGAGGTTATTGATTATACCCTTTACTGAGAAGGGTAGGACAACAGACCTCGAGAACAACATGTACAACCATGAGCATTCCTTTTTCAGGCCCAGAAACTGTTACATAATTAGAGACATAGCAAGTTCCACTATGAACCGGCGCTGGTTATGGAGATCTCTTGTGGCATACTATTTTTCTAGAAGATCCAATGCATTCTTACCAAGATCGCCTTGGGAAGTTACTGTTCTAAAGTGAAAGAGAAAAGAGAAAGCAAAAACAAAAACAAAAACACCTATAAGACAAGGATCTAACGAGCGGCAATTGTTCCCGGGGCTGTTAAAAGGGCTGGGGTGCTTACCAGTGACTTGACGGGCGGAGTTGTTAGGAATCGTGGCTAAGAATGCTGTCTCATACTGAGTTCAGGCAACGCCCCTCAGGCAAACCATTCAAGTTTTCATCCGAACCATTTTCTGTCTTCTCTCATTTGCGTTAGAAAGCGGTGAATGTGGTGCAAGCCAGTGGGCCAAACCCGATTTTCTCTCGAGGTCCCTTGACGTGGTTGGTTAACCGCCGAACCAGTGTAGCTTGCTCACTAAGCCTGCACGTGAATTGAAAGGAACGACAACGCCAGAGCTCAACTCGAAAAGTTAACATCCTTCGGCATTCTAGCAAAAGCGACTTGGGCGGAAAAGGCTATAGCCCACACAACCAAAACTGGCGGGATCGCAAGGCCGACACTCTTGGTCTTGTAGAAGCCACAGCTCGCCGAATTTCGGATTCCCATATTGCCTCACAATTCGCCAGGGTGATTTTCCTTCCCATCGAGGAGTGGCTTTGCACGCCTGAGGCTCCACCTTTCTATCCTCGAACAGGCGTTGAACCCTCATTTGAGGCCAAGAGTGCTTGAGTGAGCCCTCCCCGCTGTTGGCATACACAATCGTCCTGTGCCCAAACGATTGGGCAAGATTTCTGATGGAGAGGGTTGAACATGACGGCGCTGCGATCCAAGGCGCTTGTGACAAAGGCATCAGGTGGAACACCACATTAGTACCGCCTAGTTGTTCGCTTGAGACCACCTCTGCAAGGGCGTATATGGATATTCAGTATCTCTTCCCTTGTCACATTGTATTTCCCCTTCCATGTCTCTCTCCGTCAGGTAATTAGCATGAGAAATGCGAGTGATATAATTAGCGGCAGCTGATCGTCGTTGCCCGAGGTCAAATTGCCGGCTTGCGAAAAATCAATTCGGTCTAATTGATATAGTCAACCTGAGGACGGTTTTCCCTGCGTTTTGCGCAATTATCCGAGTTTTCCTATAGACGCCTCAAATCTGTTGTCCAGGCGTCGTTATGAAAGTTCTCATTTGATGCCCTCATTTTACTTTAACTGCCTGTCATTTGGGGTAAAATCGTTTTCCGGGTTTGAGAAGTAGTAACTAAGCTCCTTGCTCCACTCCGATCTCTTCTATCCATTCTTCGAAGTCCTATTTCCTTTGTGTTGATGATGAAAGAGAACAGTTAGTCATATGCTAACCTGCCTCCGATTGAGCGACCTTGTTTCTGTTCATCTTTCGTCATTCTGCCTGACGGAGTGGGATTGATAGTTACTTTGTTTCCATATCTCAAGATTTTTCCAGTCGTTGCCTACTCTTCGTGGCATTGCGATCTATCACCGCCTTGTCTTGATTGCCTTCCTTCGAAGTTGATGTTATCTACATGGTAGTGGGCGGGCGCACAGCAGCTTCCCACACGTTACTTCATTGCAATACGTTCCCCTGAATTTTTATATAAAGCGGTTGGTGTCGCCGTTTCGATGTGATCATGGAAACCAATATTAGACCACTTTCTATATCTATTTTCAAGTATACTTTCGATAAATCAGATAATTTTCTTTGCTCCATCCATTACTGCAAAACTTCAATTCATTCACGCATTTCTCCAAACGCATCGTTTTCCCCTTCCTGCCTCCCAGAATGGTTCGAGTTTACAACGACACTTGGAGGTGCTGTAATTGCGATGGACTCAACCTTATCGCCAACGCACCTATCCAATGTCCCGTGTGTTCGCATGTAAAATGTCTCTCCTGTACTGACAGCGGAAATGGGAACTCTGTGCCGGTTTATACTGCCAGAGTTCATGGAACTCGAGGCAAGTCACGTCAAGATTGGACTCTTAACGAATTTCTGTCGTTATTACCCCGCCCCCTGACGGCCGATGACCATGCCTATCACGCTTCTAATGACAATGCACTTACTCGGGCGAGCTTTACGGTTATGAAATGCGATGTGAACCCAGCCGATGGACCTAAACTGTCTGCACAGCCCTCGATGACAGGCTGGTGGTATTGCCATGTTTCCGGCAACTTGCATTTGAACAATCCTGATTTGTCCCCCGAGGCGTGCAGCGAGTGTGGCCATATAAAGTGCCCATGGTGCATTGTCGAAGGTTAATCCACGAGCAGAAATCCAAACTTATGTCCGTATTCACGGGATTTATCACAGCGGTCTGCTGCTCCTCTAACATGGGCTTCTCGTTTGGAGTTTTGAGTTGGTAGAGGGCATAGCGTGGAGTTAACAAAAGTATTCCGTTCACGACAACAAACATCGAAGTTCTCCTTCCAGATCTCTCCTTGATCAAGTATCCCAGTATTTTGTGTTCTGCTCACTTTTGTCACACTAGTTACATCTTTCCTTTCGTATTTTCGATTTCGTCTGCAGCTGAGATTTACCGATTTTTCTGTTGTCCTACTTTCGTTCCCTCTTAAATTTCGTTTCTCTCCATACGTTTTCTGATTTTATTCTACATAATTAGTCTACTTTGCTTAGCATGTTGTTTTTCTGCGCTTTTATCATCAAACTTGTTCTCTGCTTTCCGTTACCCACCAAATGACTTTATAGATGATCTCCTTTGCTTTGCTTCCTGTTCTATACCACAATAAATTGCTGGCGCAAGCCTTGGTTGTTCCTCACATTTATTTCGTTGTAAATTTCGTGCTCAGGGATTTCGCATTCCTATACCCACAAGGCAATCAATACTCCATCTACGGCTAGCGGATCACTCGTTGGACAAACTTTATAGCCTTACCCATAATCACGTATAAACATACATATTTCTCTCTTTTAATTTTGATAAATCGCCAGGTCGAAGTTAAGATTAAGTAGTCACTTACTACATACCGGAAATTCATCCTCCAGCATTGAGGGGATCGAAGCCTCTTTACAAATACGATATCAAGACGGTAGAGAGTAGAAGGTTATTTAATTTTCTATTTCCTTTCTATTTAATATCTCGCATGTTTTTTTAATAATACGCAAGCCCGACGCAGATAGATCTGCTTGTCAGCCGTTACGCACTCAGGGCTTCAAACAGGGGGGAAGTCGAAATATGATTCATGCTTCTGAACCTTGCGCTCCACATATGGACCCATAATCATAAATCACAAAGCTCGGGTAGGTGTTGAAGCTGATGCTCAAGGTGTCGCGGTCAACTTTTCACGCTGCAAGCTAGCTTGCGTTAGATTTCGAAAGTCGATGACAAAGCGATGAGAGTTGGCGTTATGTTTCTATCACCGCATCAAATGGATAAACGCCAGAGATCATCAGGGAGGCGCGATGTCTACTGGTCTTGTTTCAATTACCGGGTGATTGAAAACTTGTCATGTGCGGGCGTTCTTTTATTAGAAGAATAAAGGGATCGAGGCATGATCCAAGGTACCTTTATTAGAAGAATGTCCAGAGCTGTCCCACAAAAAAGAGAGAAAAAAAAAAGGCGAAGGGTGCGTACCGTAAATATGGTCTAATGGGACGATGGCGTACGTAAATTTGTCCGGAGAGAAGAATTATGTCGAAAAGGGTCAAGAACAGCCAATAGAGAACCCAAAGAAAAGCCAAATCCTGGCATAGTATTAAAAATTAAATCAAGATATCAACCACAGTGACAAGCACCGTTCATTGAAAATCTGATGCCGCTGCAGTACTTGAAGGAAGAATTATCGAATCATTTATTATCTCCAAATGAACCGCTTGGATTTTGCTCGTGGCGAATGTGTTTCCCACGATGAGTATTTGGCGGTTTTTGAATAGGTCGTGCTTTTTGCTCAATTTTTCGTGGCTTATGCGAAGAGTTTGTTTTGAGCACTTTGTTGGGTTCCCAATTTATTCCTCGATCCCTATTCCGGTGCGTTGCATTGTGAGATGTTAACTCGCCACCATCATCACAGCTTTCCAAACCAGCTTCACGCCTAAGCCGTCGAACGACAGGGCCCAGACGAAAGGCGCTTTCCTGACTGCTATGGTCAGTGCAGGGAGAGTTTTTCAAGGGTGAGAACCAATCCAGAAATGAGTATCCCATAACTTCTTTAAAGTTTTCGAATGGGCTGCTCAAGTTCCCAAGGATTCTCCGCCTGGTTTTGTACGT